AGAAAACTGTTCGTAGCCTCCAAGATCTCCAGCATGCTCAGATGTTCATGACTCCGTCATAATAATCTTTTGCCACAATAAGGAATCACTAGGATTTGGTGGGGCAGTTGTGCATGGGGCCATGGGGTTCCTGGCTACAGAAGCAAGACCTTTAGTTCAAAAATTGATGTGTCCCTTTATCGATTTTCCACTGTGGATCAAGAATTGTTGAAGAAGGCAAAAGGCCATTGTTAGGGCTGAGATGAATCACTGCTGCTAGATTTATGACCGGTCTTGGATTTGTCCTGGTCTAGTTCATGAACCAGTCCTAAACCAGTGGTCTAATCTTATTTCCTCCATCACTTTTCTCTTTCCCCAGGTGTTGGATACCCGAAGGGCCGAAACCTGACATGTTCAGCCCTTCTGGCAGGACAAAAGAATGCAAGGATTACCCAGACTGGAAAACCCAAATCTATTTAAAACATTAAGTATAATTATATTATATATGTATATCCCAATTTCCCAATTCATTAGTAATAATTATATTATATACTCCCTCCGTATTTAAAAGTTTGCTACACTTCCATTTTTGGTAAGTTTACCCTTTAGAAAATACTCAATTACCCTTGCTTTTTTTATTGTTTATCTTCTCTTTCATACTTTTACACCATCTTTCCTACTTTTTCTACACTATTCATTACCCCTACTACCTTACTCCTTAAATAATGTTCCAATCCTAATGTAGCATTCTTTAAAATACAGAGGGAGTATATGTTTTTCAAATTCCCAAATTTTCAATGTTTTGAAGTTCTGGCTAGGGAAAAAATGCTACAGATTTAAAGTAAAATAATTTTGACCAGAAACTATCTAGATACTACATTGGCAGTGCAGTCTAATTTAGACTAGCAACTAGTGAGCTACTATCTTGTTGCAGCCATTTCAGTCTTGTAGACCTCATAACCTTGAGGTCATGGACTCACGGGTTCAAATTCTGTCTTTACAACAGGTAAAAGGTTAATAAAATACTATGTACTATGTATTTAGAAGGATAAAGTAAGAAATGAAATAAGTAAGAGAGTTCAAACTGGAAAAGTTTTCAGATTTTTGGGTCATATAATAGAAAGTGTATTTTTCCAAATTAGATAGGATATCAATCAAGGTAATCAGATCCCTAAAATTTTGCTTAGAATATATCCAGAACCCATGTTATTGAGATCCCCATTAGCTTGCATGTAAACTGCACTAGTCAGAAAAAAAACGGACAACCTTTCTTAGGGAGTAGGTTGGTATTATTACTGTCTTTATGTCCAGAACTGAATAAGAAGGGTGCCATAGGAAAAAGTTCATTTGGCAATTTATGATACGAAGTGCTACATGTATATGTATAGGTTCAATATAGAGGTGATGCGGGATATTTTTTAATTGAATAAGTAATACTCCCTCCGTCCCACTTTAAAGTTCCCACGCGGTTTATGACGTTTGATTGACCATAAAGTTGACTGATTCCTGTCATTAATAGAGTTATTTTTAGTAAATAAAATTTACATATTCTGAAACTACATTAAAACTGCCACAAAACCTGCAAAATGGGAACCTTTAAATGGGACAGAGGGAGTAATTTTTTCAAAGCTAAATGTTGTGGCTCGAAAGAATCTCTTTGCTCCTGTTACTTTCAAGTGTAGCCTTTCTGGATATTTCTTTTACTGAACTTCTGGAGTAAAAAGCGTTTTGGCTTAACGTCCACAGCAATACCAAAGTGGGATTTAGTGTATCATGGTTGAAATTGGACATGATAGATGATGGTAGGAGCTTAGTTTAAAAAAGCGCGCCTCAGGCGCAAGGCGCAGCTAGGCGATGGGCATGTTGCATCCAAAAGACCCAGACCAACAGATTCCAATAGGTGCGCCCCATACCTCTCCTTTTGCCGCTTTTTGCGCATCTGAGAGGCGTCCGCCTCTAGCGCCTTTGAGAAGGTGTCCTCTCATGTTTCTTTTTAGCGATTCACATACCTAGTTCGAGCTTGGCGATTCACGTATCTAGTTCCAAAGGTCCGTAGGTATTATATATTGATGGGAGTGACGTTCCCTGACTCCATCAGAGTCAAGTTTTCTCTAATATTCTGCCTCTGCTATGCTTCCGCTATCTCCTATCCTCTTTCTTTCGCTCCTATCTAGTGTCACAGGTAATTTTTAAAATTTTTGTTTCCTTTTATTCTTTCTTCTCTTTTTATCTTAATTTCTTAAATTATCAAATAGTTTAAATTATTTATAATTAAATATATGACCATATATCAATGTGCCCTAAACTCTAATCCCGATCACATAGTTTATAAATTTTAAATTAAATAATATTACGTAATAAAGATGGTTTGTACATTCAGATTGTTTAAATTTTTACTTTAGCAGCTTAAAGTTACATTGTGGAGTTTTACCATTCAATTTTATGATTGGCTTTAGGCGTGTAATGTGTTTGATGCTACTGTCTGAATCAATATTTTGTTTCTCTTAAGGTGTTTATTAAGATTGTTTAATGGTTTAAGGTATTTTGGTGATGTTATCATTTTTTCAGAAGAGGCTTCATGTAGAATTAGTATACCTATATTTTACCAAATTTATACGATTAAGTTCCGTGAGGCGCGCACCTTGCGCCTCAGGTAAATTGTCCTAAAATGCCAAATGCCGCCTCGCGCCTTTTAAAACTAAGGGTAGGAGTCATCATAGGTAAATCACTGATTTTGTTCATGTACAAATGTACTTATAATTGCAGTCACTGCTGTGTGATCCAAACCCGAACTCCCCAGCCAATTCTGAAGCAGCGAGGATGTTCAGTGAGACCAAGCGTGAGTACAACAGGAAGGTGCGTGAGATTGTTGAGCAGAGCTGGACTGCCGATTAACAAAACGTGCTATATGCAGCTGGCTGCGTCTTCATGGCGGTGCTTTGTTGCTACATACAATGATACAATGCTCTTGCCATTGAATGTTGTTTTTCTTTTTTTTTCCTTTAAGGTATTGTAGTGACTTCATTATATGCGTTGGTTGGTACTTTGCGAGACTTTTGTACATATACTTTCCTGTATCCCTCACCCACCCATTATCTGGAATTTGTACTTCTAAATGTTTTGTTCCCAAATAGTCGTTATCGTTCACATCTGAACTTATTGTTCATTTATAATGACTTGTTTTGCAACCACCACTTTGCAATGTAATGGATTTGTATGAATCTTGCATCTCAACTCTTAGAGGGCAATTATTTTACAAACATTTTATTAATTATCATGTCCGTGTTTGTGGGTCACTACTCACTAGTATTAAATAGTTGGTGCAAATGTAGTAATTACGATGAGACGGATGAGTACAGGTTGTACAATTTTAGTGTTTGGGCATCTTTCCTATAATTTGAAGAAATTGCTCCAAAAAACACACTATTAAAATTTCCCTATTTAAGTTTCCCATTTTAATAGCATGTGTGAAAATAATTTGTTTCTCTACGTCATGAATTTAAACTTCCTATTTTAATAGCACGTTGAAAATCACATTTTCCCCTACTTCGTGAATTTGTACAGTTTGCTTTTTTAATGTATAATTTGGTATAGTTTATCGCTCTTTACCATTCTACAACGAAGAGAGTTACAAAAATGTGATTAGCAAGAGTAGTAATAAAATTGTTCAATTTTTAAACTTAAGTTATTATGACATTACATTATATTAACTAATAGTCATATTTGTGTAAATAAATTTATTTTAGTAATATTTTTGTAAAAAATTAACCCAATATTTAATAGTAGAGTAAATTGAGAGAAATTTGGTTATCAAAAAAGAAAATATGACTCCATTTAAGGGAAATAGGGAATGATGGAATACCACTACGTAATACTTCCTCCGTTCCATAAAAGTTGCAACATTGGAATTTCTGCACTATTCACACACCTTACTTTGACTACAATTTTCTAATAATATATATAATAAAAATATTATGTATAAAATATTAATAAATTTGTATTAATGTAAATTTCCAATATATTAACTTTTTTTAATGTTTACTAATACGTAAATAAATATAATTACAGTCAAAGTTGCGCGTTGGCAAACGTGAAAGTCAAATTGTTGCAACTTTTATGGAACGGAGGATAGTATACAACATTTTCTTGCAAACTTGATTAAGTTGCATACTCAAAATTTTTAAAAAGTAAGAAACGAGTTCAAACACAAATAGAAAAAATACATAAGGGAATCCAAAGAATATAATAAATGCTAGTTTCACAAAAATAATTAGGAGGTAGCCAGCTATGGAGCTATGTATTCAAGAACATTAATAAAATCTTGTTAAAGATCTCAAAAAATAGCATTTTATGTTCATGAAGAAAAGAACTACACTAAAATTATTTCAGTCTCTTTTTATAAACGTTGCAAATAAAGAAATTTTAAAGTTATACTTCTATTTTTGTTACTCCCTCCGTCCCGGATTTATCTTCATTCTTTCCTTTTCGGTCCGTCCCAATTTTATCTCCTTTTTTCCTTTTTGGTAAAGAATATGTGGTTCACAACCATTCTTACACATTTCTCTCTCCTCTGCATAACTCTCCACCACACAAATCCCACTATCTTAAAACCCGTGCCCGGTCAAAATCGGAGTTAAATATGGGACGGAGGGAGTATTAAAGTTTCCTTTAGTTTTGAGGAGTTCCCCTTCTCTTTATACTTTTCTACTTTTTCCTATTCCTTTTAATTCTTTTTCTATCCTAATTACTATTCCATTTTTCTTAATCTCCTTGAAATACTTACTGCCAACTATTTTTGACCGTAGCTAGGGTTCAATTAAGTGGTTAATTAATAGTGAATTAGTGATATTTGACGTATCTTATCAATTCCTCTCGTAATAATTACTACTACAAGTCTACAATATATATGATGAATAGTTCCGTAGTAAATGAAGTTCAACTTGAAGTGAAAAATCAGATCCAAACATTAGTACGACTCTGGACGTCGTCGTTTTCTCTCAACGGAACAAATACTTACACTGATCAGTACGACTCACCAACTTTGCCCACGCGCGGAACCACGCACGTAAGACACACGCTATACAGTCTTGGCTCTCACTCTCTCAGACAGTCCCTCTAAACAGTCGCAGACGAGATAGGCGGTGGTAGATAAGGGTTCATTTCCTTCACATGTAAGTTCGCACCGACTGTGAGCTTCGCCACTTTTTCATCTTAGCTCAATTAACTGCTCACCTGATTTTTTATGTTTACTCTTTCTCTCTTTCACGCATCCTCTGTTTGATGTTGTTGATTTTGTTTCAGCAATGGCGGTTCCCAGATCTTGAGAACCTCCGTTCTCGTGGTACACCTCAGATCTGTGACACTCTCTTTACAGTACTGTCTTCTTATTTTCCATGCCTCGTTTATCTTGCATGTGCATAGATTTCAACCAGTTCTCAATGTTTGGTGTTGGTAGTGTAGATCTTGCTGAAATGATGCTTCTGTTTTGTTTTTGGTTCCATTTGATTTCGTTTTCCAGTTCAAAAGCGCCTAGGTTGTTTATGATTTATAGTTCACTTTTAATGCATTTCCATTATGGTCATAATTGTCTTGTTTTATATTTTTGCAAAGTCATTTTGTATTTTTCCAAGTTGAGTAGAGCTAGAATGTCTCCCCTCTCAGTCACTGTATGACAGATACATTTGCTTGAATTGAAAGTGAAATTCTTTTGGAGTTATGTGACTAAGCTATTTTTTACATAGATATCCTGAAAGTGCGTATCTGCACACCTCGTTCCCCTTTTAATATTTGGGTGTTATGCTATTTTGGTACAATGCAGACTAAACAATTTTGAAGTCACCCGATCTTTGAAGCAGGCTTTTGCCAATGGGGAAATCTCCAGCAAAGTGGATCAAGACAGTGCTTTTTGGAAAGAAATCTTCCAAGTCGCCCTTATCAAAGGTTCGGAACTTGACTGGTGAATTTGCATTGCTATTTCCATTTGTTATAAGGTTGGATGCTCACAAAACGCAATACACTAATCTCATGAAGTAGTGCTAAATTTGAGACCCATTGCAATGGAGCTCATTGGTTAGTTGTACCCAAATACATCCCAACAATGTTTAATGACAGGTTATGATGTGTATATGCTATTATTCTAGTAAAGGTAATACTCCGTAACTAATAAGTGAAAAACTTTTCAACTATAGAAGTTAGAAGTGTACCTATTCTGGATTTAATATATTGCTGCGTCAGGTTCTCCTGGTAGACTAATGTGATTATATTAATTCACTCTTATTTTTTAATTTCCCCTTGAAACAGTTTATTTTGAGATAAATTGTTCTGTCCAAATTATTCGTCTTCTTTTTCAAGAATATTCTGGAATCTGAATCCGTACTTCAAAGTATAGGATGCCGCTTCTGCCAAGAAAGTACCCACATCAGATCTTGTGGAGGACCGTCCAGTGAGATCAGATCCAGCAAGCTACATTATTAATGGAGGTGAAGGGAAGACAGAGCTAGATAGTGTTACAACCACTGGGTTATCAGGTGATACTCTTGCTTTGTCATCTGTGGCTCAGAATGTGGATTCACTAAGCTTAGGTGCTGTGTCAGTTGATGGCGCCGAGATGAAAATGCAAGAAAAAGCTGCAACTAAGGCACAAGCGGTCTTCAGGGGCTACTTGGTAATTTAGTTTACACTTTACAATTGTCATTTGCTAGAATTAGCGGTTACTATGTAAACGTTTAAATTATTTGAATTTATATAACCTACATTCATTCACGATTTATGCATAAATGCTTCTGTATAGGCTCGCCGTGCTTTTCGAGCTCTTAAGGGGATCATAAGGCTGCAAGCACTTATTCGTGGGCACTTGGTTCGGCGGCAGGCAGTTGCTACGTTGCGTTGCATGCAAGCAATTGTTAGATCTCAGGCATTGGTCCGTGGACGGAGAGTCAGACATTCAAGTCCTGTGTGTCAGGGGATTGGAAATTACAGTTTGAGAGAAAGGAAGGTAATTATTATACTACATTACTACCTAATTACTTACTTCAGCATTTCAGCCCCCATGACCTTCCCATATCCTGGCATTCTTTCATACTATCTTTGTCACAAAAAAAGTCATCTCTGTCTAGTGTCCAACTTTTTAATCCTCATTCCTCGTAAAGTCGTAAGGTACAAGTGTACAACTATCATAGATCTTGAATCATACTTATATTTTTTTGGGTTTAACTAAATTCATCATATGTATAAGCAGTATAAACAATTTACATGAAAAATTAGCTTCATGTGATTAAACTGGACCCATTTTTTCTTGACTATAAAAGAAATTAAACTCTTTTTTTGGACGGATGGTGTATATGCTATTTTTCTTAATTTGTCCTGTTTGTGTATCTTTTTTTGTTGCCATCAATTCTCCACTCTAATTTCATATGCTTCCTCAGGATGCTAAGCTGGCAGGGTTAAGCGTCACAATTATGCCTCTAAGGTCTGATAAACTGGCAGCTAATGCATTTGTGTGCAAGGTATTACTTATCCCTTTTCACGCTTAAAACTACATCATTTGAAGAGTTTAGTTAGGGCTAATGTCCCAGTCAGCGCAACATTTGTTTCCTTTCCAGAAATTGTTGGCAAAGGAAAATAACTAAGGAAATTAGTTTTTTAATGTTTGGTTTTACCTTGGAAAATACAAAGGATATTCAAATTTTATTAGTATTTTAATATTCTTACATATCTATATACTTGGTCTCTCTATAATAGAAATATAAAAATAAAATGATCTCGAGCATATATCTAAAATTGGCTTATAGAGGTTGACCATTGTTTTACTAATTTTCCATCAAACCCTTTCCCCAAAGTCTTCCTTGTATATTCTCTCCTACCATTTACCAAGTTCTAAACCGTTAAATGTGGCTTCCATAAATAACCTGTATGAATTAATTGCAGTGGCCGGAACTGGTCAGCTTTATTTTTTATTTATTTATTTCCTGGACAGCTTCTTGCTATAGTGCCAAAAGCTATGCCCCTGAGCCTTCAGTATGATGTGACCGAACCTAATTCAGCTTGGAACTGGCTTGAGCGTTGGTCATTATCTCGCTTTTGGGAACCACTTCCCCGGCCTAAAAAGATTCAAAACCCAAAATCTCAAAGAAAACATGGTGCACATGGTAATATTGAGATGGAATCTGGAAGACCAAAAAGAAGCGTCAGGAAGGCTCCTATATCATCCAATGCTGACAATCACGGATCAAGTTCCTTCGATTCTGAAAAACCAAAACGTGTTCCTAGGAAAATCATAAATCATCAGACAGAAACATCATCACTAGAACAACCTCAGGCTGAACTGGAGAGGGTAAAACGGAACTTAAGAAAAGTTTCTGCATCATCCACGACAGTACCTCCTGAAAAGCCAGATGTGGAAATCGAAAAGGTGGTCCTTCCTGCCCCTCCAGAATTGCCAAAATCATTGTGTGACCCCTATGAGGCTCGTGAGCAAGCAATAGCTGAAGATTCTTTAGACTTGATAACTGAGTCTAAGATTGAATCTGTAGAATTGACAGTATCTGAGCCCTCTCTGGAACCCGACACAGTTGACAATATTACCCATGCTGAGCAGTTGCTCTCTGAAAATGTAGAGAGTGGAGAGACACCCCATGTTGTCAAGGAGGAATATAATTCAAAGGAAGATCAAGCTGGAAAGGAAAACCAGAGAAGTAGGAGGAGGAGGTCTCTTCCTGTAAAGCAAGAGCCTGCTGAGAATGTTTCACAAAATGCACCAAGCTTGCCTAGTTATATGGCAGCAACTGAATCTGCAAAGGCTAAGCTTAAAGCACAAGGGGCTACTCGACCAACAAACGAAGATGATGCTGAAAATGGTTTTATAAGACGGCATTCACTTCCATCATTGACCAATGGAAAGTTGATTGCACTATCGCCTCGGTTGCAGCGGCCAGTTCAACCACACGGAAAAGGAGGAAACAAAACTAACAAATCAGTTTCCGCCACTAGAGATGGTAAGACCAGAACCTTGGCTTGTTTGCTATTTTTATGTTTTTTATTTTCATTTTCTAACACCTACCTCGCAATCTCGGACTCTGCTAAAGTGTTGCTTGGATTGTTCTCTACAGTACATACGATAATAAAGCGGCATCACTCATTTTATGCCCCTGAACTTTGTCTGTTGGCCCTTTTGAGGCCCGCATTTTCTATTTGAATATGTTGAGCACTCCTATCTATCTTAAGCGATCAATAAGCACTTTTGTTTTGCCTTTTTCTATATCACTGTACCAGTAACTTTTTTCGTCAGCCCAGGAATTACCTTCAATTTTGGCTGTCAGTATGTCGTCCATGCCAGAAACCCAGAAAATCTTATCACCCTTGGAAGCTCTTTCATCATCAGAACCCTAATAACCCTCATAATAATTTTTTCTTTTACGTTTTGAGGTTTGAGGCAGTTTACTAATTTATCTGGGCTTCTGACTTGAATACATACACACAGCCAAATGGCTCACTATGTAATGTGGTAACAAAAACTCAGATGAACATTCAAAAAAGGAAAAGCTCGTTGCCTCATTGGGGGTTTAAGTTTGCCACTGACATGCTCAATAGGGTCCAATTAAAAGTTGAGGGCCTCAATAGGGCCAACATGCAAAGTTCAGGGGCTTAATTATGTGTTTTTCCATAATAAAGCTGGCCTTTATTTGGGTTTGTATCGTAACTCGGATAAACAATTGCCTTAAGTTTCTGTGGAACTTGATATGATGAAGATTCATTCAGCCAAAACGTTAATTTGAATCTTGGTGTTACCAACCCACCCCCACCCATCCCCTATTTAATATTTCTCATATAAGACCCCATCCATGTTTGCTAGTGCATTAATATCAACATGTAAGCATTCTCATGAGTTTTTTTGGGACATTATGAACTTTAGAGAAGGGGCTTCATCCTGGATGGAGGAGGTGAGCTCAAGAAATAGCTCTTACTGGAAGTTCAAGGCATGTAAGGCTGTTTCATTTGGTTGTGAAATCAGTTGTGGAAAAGATTAGACTGAGTTTTACTATAATTTGTCACTCCCAAGCTTCTCCATGGTAGGCTTGCTGTTTAAAAGGGGAATGTATAGCCAAGACTCCCAGAGTGTCATTTGTACGGTGTTGTGCCTTTATTTTTCTTTTGAGTTTTCTGTTTTGTAGCGTGCAGTCGTGCAAATGGTTGTTGACTCATTTATCTCTTGCTACAGATTTGCTGTGTGCTACGTCGTGGTGTTGATTTTTTAATTATATTTTAATATTTTAGTTGGTCTTTCAAAACTGCTAATTGTTACTTTGGCGTCTGTCAGTATTTCCTTCAAATTACCTGCAACATTTGCATCAGATTCATATTGAAGTTGGGAATTACAAAACCGCTTATGAAAATGCACACCCATTTCACAACTTCCTATCCTATGAATCAACAGAGTTTTGAATCTTCTAAATAAATGCATCCCATTGTTGGTTGAATCAATACTTTTTGAAAACATGAATAATAAACCCTAGACTTGAATGATTTGCACCATTATGCTTGTGAATTCTAGCTGCGTGGGCTGGAAGTGAGAATCTGAGACCATGACCCATATTACCAGGCTACCAGCTCTAGGTAGGGATGGACCCGAAACTGACCCGGCCCGGTACTGTTACGAACCAGCCTGACCTGCGGCCTGGGTCAGGGCCGGGTGCATTATACCTGAACCGAAATATATACCCAAATTGGATTTTTTTTATGAAATTTTTGAGCATCTTCTTCGTCAAGTAGTAATGGACTCGGGCCGGTTCGGACCCGGTTCGGGCCTGGGCCCGGCCGGGCCTCGGTTCTAGGAAGGCAGGCCCGGAACCGGCCCGGATAACCCCGGGTCCGGTTCGGTTCGGGTCACCCGCCCGGATAACCCCGGGTCCGGTTCGGTTCGGGTCACCCGCCCGGTTCACGGGCCGGGCCGCCCGGCGGGCCGGGCCGGGCCTATTTAATTTTTTTTTAATTATTATATAATTAGAATAAATCTTATTACAATTACAATATATTATATTCGAATTGAAGTATATTTATTTCAAATAAGAAGTACAATTGAGAATTAGGATGAATTTAAAAAATGTAATACATTTTGTAATAAAAAATCAATCGGACTCTCCGCCTTCGGTTGTTTCCTCCATAAAGTGGCGGGAGGGAGTGATGGTAATTTCTTGAGTTCTTCGTTGGGCCTTCAACCAATCGTGAAAGCAAACTAGTGTCTCAAGAGAACTCGGGCTCAACCTCGTTCTAAAATCGGTTAGGACGTTGCCGGCCGCACTGAATTCTTGTTCCACGGCAACGGTTGATATCGGCATTGCTAGTACTTGCTTAGCCATCTTTGATAAAATCGGGAATGTTCTTTCATTTTCCTTCCACCACTTAAGAACGTCAAAGTCATCACCAACTTCATAATCAACATTCAATGTTAGATACAAAGAAAGCTCGTTACCTGAGCTTTGTTCAGTAGCGGGAGTTGCTCTACTTTTTTTCAAAAGAGAACCAAAAGCGGATTTTAAAAGTGATTTTCCTTTAGATGAAGAAGATGTTCGTTGCATGGGAGGGGGTGCATTACCATATTGTGCATGAAATTCATTATACAATTGATGAAATAAATTACTAATCTCGTTGAATTCTTGTTTAGGGTCGATGGGATTATCATCGAACTCTTGAGTTGGAAAAAAAGAAGCATAATAGTAATCTATACAATTTGCCAAGTAAGGAAGTTTATAACGAGGATCAAGAACAAATGCAATACCATATATATGCGGAATATGTGAATAATATTTTAAAAACTTTTGTTTCATGAAATCACAAAAATAACTAACGTAAGCGGCGTCGGAAAATTCACAAAAAGCGCCGGCGAGATTAACAGCTTCAACAAAAAATTCGTTTGCGGTAGGTTTATAAACATGACTAAAAGTTAGAGTTGCGTTATTAAAATATGCCAAAACATTAACAATTTTTTCACAAGTGTCGATGTCAGCCGGGTTTATAATATAGTTACAAGTTTGTCTTAAAAAAGCTGGAAAATGATCTTTATATCTAACAAGTACTTGAATTAAATTATAAGTACTATTCCAACGAATAGACAAATCTTTAGGAAAAGCACAATAATTCACGCGTCTATCCTTCAAATATTGCCGCCATTGCATTTTTAGTGGAGTGTTAGCCCAAATCAATTTAATTCCCCCCTTCACTACCTCCAAAACATTTCCTAATGCCGCTAAGCCATCTTGTACACACAAATTTAGAATATGACATGCACAACGTTGATGAAAAAATCTACCCATCAATGTAGAAGCACCACACAATTCACGTAATCTAGGTATAGCAGCAGTATTATTACTAGCATTATCAAAACCTACAGCAAACACCTTATCAATCAAATTATACTCAATTAAAATACGTTCAATGAGAATATAAATATTATCAGCAGTGTGACGATCATTGAATTCACGAAAAGCAAGAACACGTTTATGCATATTCCAATCATCATCAATATAATGTGCAGTTAGACCCAAATAATATAAATGATGATAAGTATCCTCCCATATATCGCTACAAATACTAACACGTCCATCAAAGTTTGCGAAAAATATTTGTAATTTTTCTTTTTCCAAGTTATATTGCCTTATAACTTCTTTTTTAATCGTTTTGCGACTATAATTTCTAAATTGAGGATTTAAAGTACCTTGAGCATAATCTCTTAAAGCAAGACTTTCGGAAAAAATAAAGGGTAAATTTTCTTCAACAATTAAATGAGACATACCAGTCAAATGTTTTTTATCATCATAGGAAAAATTACCAAAGGGTTGAGAATTTGCAAACCTTGATATTTGTGTTTGCTTCCCCTTTCCTTTGTCTATTTTCGCATACTCCACAACGTGGGTGGACTGAAGATGTCTTTTGAGACTCCCGTATCCGCCAGAAATTCCCAAGCTAAACTCTTTCTTGCAATGATTGCAACTTGCGTACCATTTTTCGGTTTTTTCGTCTTTCCTTTTTGTAAAATTGTTTTCAATAATAGCAGATTTAGATTTCTTACCAATTTTGGTTGTAGTCGTTGAAGGGCCCTCGTCCTCTTCCTCATCATCCGGAGTCCCGTCGCCCCCCGCGTCCTCCTCCCCATCGTCATCCTCGAGCTCCTCTTCATCGATGGTTGTCGGGAATTGTTGTTCTTGTGCAAAACGTGGATCATTTTGGGACAATAGGTGTTGTAGTTCCTCGTCGGACATCATCATACCATCTCGCCGTTGGTAATCCGTTTCAAAATCATCTCGACTTTGAAAAGAAGACTCGGCCCGCGCTTTACCTTTGCCTTTGCGTGAAGTAGATCGAGTCGATGCAATCTCCCTCTTGCGGTTGCGTTGGAGATTACCCACATCTACAGAATGTCTACCTCGCTCCATATTTAAAATTGAACAAATATTAGCACTTAACTAATATGAGAAATGTAAAAATTAACTATTTTTGTTATTTTAATGAGATATGTAGCAATTAACTAATATGAGAAATGTAAAAATTAACTAGTTTTTTTTACTTTAATGAGATATGTAGCAATTAACTAATATGAGAAATGTAAAATTGTAGCAATTAACTAATTAACTAATATGAGAAATGTAAAAATGTAGCAATTAACTAATTAACTAATATGAGAAATGCACAAATGTAGCAATTAACTAATATGAGAAATGTAAAAATATAGCAATTAACTAATTAACTAATATGAGAAATGTAAAAATGTAGCAATTAACTAATATGAGAAATGTAAAAATATAGCAATTAACTAATTAACTAATATGAGAAATGTAAAAATGTAGCAATTAACTAATTAACTAATATGAGAAATGTAAAAATGTAGCAATTAACTAATATGAGAAATGTAAAAATATAGCAATTAACTAATTAACTAATATGAGAAATGTAAAAATGTAGCAATTAACTAATTAACTAATATGAGAAATGTAAAAATGTAGCAATTAACTAATTAACTAATATGAGAAATGTACAAATGTAGCAATTAACTAATATGAGAAATGTAAAAATATAGCAATTAACTAATTAACTAATATGAGAAATGTAAAAATGTAGCAATTAACTAATTAACTAATATGAGAAATGTAAAAATGTAGCAATTAACTAATTAACTAATATGAGAAATGTACAAATGTAGCAATTAACTAATATGAGAAATGTAAAAATGTAGCAATTAACTAATATGAGAAATGTAACAATTAAGTAGTTTAACTAATATTAATATGACAAATGAAACAATCAACTTTAACTACTTTAACTAATATTAATATGAAAAATGAAACAATTAAGTAATTAAATAGATAAACGAGAAGTGTATATATAAATCAAATGTATAACTATATATAGTATATATAAATATATAATGTGTAAATATATTATAAGTAATATATAATATAATGTATAACTATATTCTAAGTAATATATAATATAATGTATAACTATATATAGTATATATAAATATATAATGTGTAAATATATTATAAGTAATATATAATATATATGTATAACAATATATAGTATATAATATAATGCGTAAAGAATTATAATATGAATGTGTATAAGTATATATTTATAAGTAGATAATTAATATTATAATATATAAGTAGATATAATAATTATATAAATTATATATATGTAGAAAGAATTTGGAGAAGATGAAGAATGAAGATGATTGAATATGAGAGATTAAGAGAATAGAGAATTTAGATTTTAGAGAGTAGAAAGAGTTGTAGGTGTAAAAAATGTATAGAAAATAGGAGTATAAATAGGTTTTTTTTTGTATACCCCACCCCCACCCCACCCCCCCTAACCCCCCAGACCCCCCCTCCTATGCTCCCAACGGCTATAGAGCCGTTTGGGAGGTCTCCCAACGGCTAGTAGAGCCTTCAAATTTTTTTAAATTTTTTTTTTTTTTTTTGTGACCGTTGAGGCCCGGCCGGGCCGGTTCACCAACTTATAAGCCCGGGCCCGAACCGCTACATGACCGGGCCGGGTGGCCCGAACCGTGACCTAACCAACGAACCGGGCCGGGCCGGGCCCGCACAGTAGCGGGCCGGTCCGGTTCCGGGCCGGTTGGCCCGGCCCGAGTCCACCACTATCGTCAAGTCTAGTTTAACCACACCAAATTTCAGCTAAAAATTCAATCATGAAGGTAGTCAAATAAATGTTTGAAGATAACTGCGCAGTTAAGCAACACAGTATATTTCAAAAAAAAAGTGACTGCCTTCTTGGTTGAATTTTCACCTGAAATTTGGTATGGGTAAACTAGACTTAATGAAGAAGATACTAAAAAAAAATCATCAAAAAGTTCCACAGGTAACCACCTCAAATGGCGACGGTCAGACAGAGCTTCCTATAAAAGTGGTGATTTGCATTTTTTCGGTTAGTTCGAGGGCTTATTTGCACTTTTTCCCTTTGTTTTTCAAACTCTTTGGGAGATAAATGGGTTGGGCTGGGTGTTTTTGAGGGGTTTGGGATGAGGTGGGGGTAGGAAGTAATTAGAAAAAAATAAGGTATCCTGCCTGGACCCGGTAGCTACCAGGGCCGATTCCGGATCTCAAGAAACCAAAAAAAGCCCGGTTAGGCCCGACCCTTGGCGCGACCCGGACTGGCCCGACCCTTGGCGCGACCCGGACTGGCCCGACCCTTGGCGCGACCCGGACTGGCCCGAGTCCATCACTAGCTCTAGGCCTTTAGCTAATTTCAATCCAAAACTCTGGTCTGGTTGCGGTTTTAATTATTCTTTTATCCCTTAGAATGTATTTTCAAAGATCATTCCTTCGTTCTCGTCCTCTCCCTTCACTAGCTCATCATCTACGACCACAGTGAGACCTTCGTTCTCCTCTAGGATCATTCCTTGATAGACATGTACTAAAACCTCCATTGTTGTCATGGGTGACTGTTGCGTTCGTTTCAGAACTCGAAGAAAACTCCCGTATTGTTCTTGCTGAGATCCCACAAAACTAAAAACAAAATCAGGCCGCACGAAATAATCGGCGGAGAAGCAAACCCTACGCTGCTACGTGAGGGACATCTATGAAGAAGCTATTGACAAAGATGACACCAAGATAGCAAGGAATTCTAAGCTTGCTGCCTAAAACTTAAATAAGAAGTAATACTTAATACATAGTAGTTAATATATGATTAAGATTGGTATAAAGGTTTGTTTCTCAATAGCTTTATACCAATCTTGGTGTAAAGACTGGTTTGCTTCTAATAAGAACAATACTGGTTTGCTTCTCGATAGAAGCTATCGACGAAGATGACACCAAGATGGAATCATCTTCCTATTAAGACGTTATATTAGGATAGAATCAATTTGTTTGGACAACTTGATAGGAAGATGGTTCCATCGTTTAATTGTTTAAGAGATATCTGGTGTGGGACAACAATAGATATGCACTGATTGAACATTTTCAGTCATTATAGACTTGTAGTTTCTTTGGAAATTCAAATATTTGCTCTTATTCAATTGTAACTGTCTATCTCATTCAGTTTTCTTATGCATAAAAATGAACTCTATATAATTGTAATGGTAAATTTAATTGGTAGCAATATGATGGAGTATATGGCCCGGGAACCCCCGACCCACAGACTCCTACTACTCCAGCAAAGGCCCAACAGGCCCAAATCACAGCGCCCGGAGTACCAAGCAGTCCGCACAACGCACAGGGGTGCCTTCGGCCCCCTGGCCGAAGGCTCCAAATTCTCACAGAGCGGGTTTCTCAAGCAAACTAAGAAACTGGGAGAAAACGGCGAAAACAGTAGCCCTCGGTACTGTGAGCCCTCGGCACCAGGGGGTGCCATCGGGTAGAAGAGCCCTCGGCTACTGCTTTATAGCCGAAGGCATCTCACTCGACAAGATATCCGCCTCACATGCGTACAGATCACCGTACCCCGCACAGACGTCCCATCCAACAGCCGCATTAAATGCGGCCACATGCGGCTGCCAGCGCCAACCAGTTGAGGTGACCCCTCGGCCAATGGGCGTTTGACACGTGTCCCTGCCCGGCATTTATTGCTACTATAAATAGCACCCCATTTCCCCATTTGTAACCACGCTTAATACATATCGAATATACACTCTCTCTCTTATTTGTTTGCTCTGACTTCTCTCTAAGTTATTCCCCGTAATAACCCTTCGGATATATACCCCCGGGTAGACTATCCATCATTTGGTGCTCTCGTTGAGAGGTTGAACAATCGAGTAAGAAACCCTCCCCCTCGACCAAACACAAAACACTAGCCCTCTATCAAAATGGTGAGGACAACGCGTGCCAACTCAAAAAACGTAGAAGACAAGAACCTGGCCCTCGGCGACGTCAACGCCCCCGAAGCCTCTCACAGGGCTCCCGAGGGCGGTGTCCTCGCTGGGCTGGAACAGGCGGCTGTCGACCTACGCCTTCAGATCCAACAAAATGCCCCCGATGCCCGCCTCGGCATCGAGGCCAAGAAGAAAAACCGGAGCGATGACCAAGTCAGCCCTCCGGTTCTCACCATCGACGTACAATCGGCGCTCTCCGCCTTCATCCAAACGCTCACCCAGAACCCGGGTGCCTTCGGCACCCTGGCTCCAGCTCACCCTCAGATCGGGGAAAATATCATACTTCCCCCTCTGCCACACCCCTTCGGAAATCCCACCCCTCGGGTGAGAAACGACGAAGGGGTGGTGGCCCAAGAAACATCCTCCCAGGAAGTTCAGTCCCGGGACCGCCATAATGACAACAGGGAGAGGCCCCGTACTTCCGCCCTCAACCGGCTCGGAGGAGGGCCAGACCGCCGAGGGGTCCAAGACCGCCTCGGGGGGAAAGTACTCCAAAGGCCCCAGGAAAGCGGGGGATCTGTTTCGAGGGCAGACGAGGAGCGTCCCCCTCGGGATAAAGGCAAGGCACCCCTTCATGCCGATGATGCTCGGCACCAAATCAACCAGGCCCACTCGGCCCGGGTTCGTTCGCAGGGGGCGGAGACCCTCCCGAGGGACCCCCGGGACGAGATTATTGCGGCCCTCCAGCGCCGGCTTGACGAAATGGAGTCCAACAAAGCTCACGCCACCACCTCCACCCCTCACTCAGATCTCAAATACGAGGCCATGATGGCCAAAATGGAGGAGTTACAGAAGAAGGTGGCCGAGGGCTCCGGGGAACCCGTCATCCAGCTCCGGACTCGGACGCCATTTACCCCAAGGGTATTGGCGGCCCGGATCCCGGAGAAATACCGAGGGCAACACATACAGCCCTACAGCGGGAAAACGGACCCCCAGGAACATTACAGCAAGTACCAGAACAGCATGATGATGGTGGGGGCGTCAGACGAATATTTGTGTCGTTGGTTCCTCTCCACCTTAGAGGGACCAGCATACGAATGGTTCAACAGGCTGCCCGAGGGCTGTATTGATTCATGGCAAGAACTCGCCCAGCGGTTCTTGACACAATTTGCCGGGAGGCGTCGCACAAGGAAGCACTTCTCCCACCTCCTAACAATACGCCAGAAGAAGGATGAGACCCTTCGGGATTTCCTGGAGCGCTGGAGGACGGAGGCCGACAAGGTCGACGGTGCTGATGACGGGACCCTCCTGGCCCTCCTACAAACCGTCCTCCGCACCGACAACTTTTCAAGGAGCCTCATCATTGAACCCCCCCGCGACTACATAAGGGCCTTGCAGCGGGGAGACCGATATGCTGAGGCCGAGGAGGTGGAGAAGTATCACCAGCATCCGGACCAGCAGCCCCCGAGGGCTGACAACAAGCACAACCGAGGGCCGGGGGCTCCTCCAAATCACCCCAAGGCTTCGGGACCCTCTGATGACCGCCCTCGGCAAGGCCAAGCCAAGCCCGGGGGAGGTTATAGGAGCAACCCTAAGACTTGGGCCCAGCCCATTCTCCTGGACCGCCCTCGGACCCCATTGACGCACCCCGTCAGCATCATCCTCGATTTTGCAGAGGAGAGGGGCCTCGTTGAGCGCGATTCTCGCGCACCCCCGGAGGTACACGCTATCAACCCTCAGTTCCCCTACTGTCGCTTCCATCGACACCAGGGGCACAGGACCGATGACTGCCATCAACTGAAGACGGCCATCGAGAGATTAATACAGGCAGGGCACCTGTCCCAGTTTGTCCAGAGCCCTCGGCAGGAGGGACCTTCTCATCAGGGACCTCCCCGAGGGCACCATACGAAGGTAAATGCCTGGGTGAATCCGAACACCATCCCCCTCGGCAAGAAGAGGGAGATCGGAAACTTGGAAGAAGAGGAGGAGGAGTACCCCCACTACCAGGAGAAGAAACGCCACATCCTCATGATCACCGGTGGCAATACAGGGGGCGATTCCACCAGTCAGCGGAAGAAGTGGGCTCAATCGCTTTACGTAGGGGAAGTCACTCATATGCCCCTGGTAAAGCGATTGAGGGAGGAACCCATCACCTTCACCAACGCAGATCTCCCTCCTACTTCTTCTCCTCACAGGGATGCCTTGGTGATTCGGACAGAGATCAACGACACCATCATTCACCGAACTTACGTTGACACGGGCAGCTCCGTCAATGTAATGTACCTCAGTACCTTCAGAGAGCTGCATCTGGAGAGGGGGTCCCTTCGGCCCATCAAAACCCCTCTTGCCGGCTTCACCGGCGACACTATTGATTCCGAGGGGGTAATAACCCTCCCGGTGATCTTCGGCGACGGGCTCCATAGAGCCCAGCTCGAGGTGGAGTTCGTCGTCGTCAACATTGATTGCGCCCACAACATCATCCTCGGCCGGCCAGCCCTCGAGGACCTCGAAGCCATCATCTCCATGAAGCATCTCTGCCTCAAGTTTCCCGCCGAGGGGGGCATTGGCTACTCCCGGGGGAATCAAAAAATTGCCCGCGCCTGCTATCTTCAGGTCACTAAGAAGGTAAGCAAGACGGAATTCCGTGTTGACACCATCACCGGAGCCGTCGACCAAGAGGAAAGAAGGCCGAGGGCTGAACCGGCCGAGGACGTAGAAGACTTTGCGCTCGATCCGGCCCAGCCGGAGAGAGTCGTGAAGATTGGAGCCCAGCTCCCTGAAGATTTGAAGACCGGTATCACCGACGCCCTCCGCGCCTACTCCACCGTCTTTGCATGGGGGCCGGAGGACATGCCGGGAATTAGCCGAAGGGTCATCACCCACCGCCTCTCGGTGGACCCCTCGGCAAAAGCAGTGCAACAACGAAGAAGACCCCTCTCCGCCGAGAGAAGGGAATTTGTGAAGAAGGAGGTCGCCATGCTCCTCTCCATTAAGCACATCAAGGAGGTGAAATATCCCTCATGGCTAGCAAATGTAGTCCTCGCCCAGAAGCCCCCTACCTTCCGCATGTGCGTGGACTACACCGATCTCAACAAAGCATGCCCCATGGATCCATTCCCTCTACCAAACATTGATCAATTGGTAGATGAGACCGCGGGGTGTGAAATCATGTCCTTCCTCGATGCCTTCCGAGGGTACCATCAAATATATTCATGCACGAGGAGGACGCCGAAAAAACTGCCTTCATGACTCCCGAGGGCATCTTCTGCTACCTAGTGATGGCCTTCGGCCTAAAGAACTCGGGGGCCACTTACACCCGGATGGTGGCCCGGGTCTTTCAAGCCATCCTGGGGCGCACCATGGAGGCCTATGTCGACGACATGATCGTCAAGAGCAAGCAATCTTCCAGCCATGCTGACGACCTCCGGGAAATCTTCGCCATCATGCAAAAATTCAACCTTCGGCTAAACCCGAAGAAGTGCACCTTCGGCGTACAAGGGGGCAAATTCTTAGGCTACATGGTGAGCCGGAGGGGTATTGAGGCCAACCCCGAGAAGATCCAGGCCATCATCAATATGGAGCCCCCACGCAATGTGAAGGAAGTCCAACGGTTGACGGGCCGCCTGGCAGCCCTCAACCGTTTTCTATCTAAATCGGCGGAGAAATCTCTACCCTTCTTCCAGATCATGAGGAAGACGGCTGGCTTTCTATGGACTCCGGAATGCCAGGGGGCTTTCGACGAGCTCAAAAGATATCTATCTTCACCTCCTGTGCTCTCCAAACCCAAGGTAGGGGAAACCCTCTACCTCTACCTTGGGGTCAGCCCGGCGGCCATCAGCTCTGTGCTC